TCCTTTATTCGGATGTCGCTGTTGTGAAGAGGGGAGTATGAAAGCGAATCAAAGACATTGAACTAAATGAGACACTTTTCAGGCTCCTGGTCTACAAACGTCAGTCGAGTTGATCATCTTTCTCGCAAAGTTGGTAGCCGAATTGGGAGACACGACAGCTGCAATACAAGCGTACGAAAAAGCTCTCCAGGTGCTCATTGTAAAACACTTGTATTAGGGTTGCTCTCTCTCTGCCAACTTTCCAAAAGTGTACGGTGCTTACAGAATGGCGGGAATCAATAATATTTTGTTGAAGTAAAGGTATAGTGGCACAGTTTTAGCTTAGGAAATTGGACGTTTTTTCCAGGTAATCCTTAGGGATTTGTTTGTGGCTCCTCAGCGCTCGTTGTCAGTTTGGAATGCATAACACCTCTGCAGGGGAAGGCTTACTGAGCCCTTTCTGTCACTACCACGGTTGTTTTAGACGATATCAACCATATGGGGTGGGAAGAGGTGGGGGGGGGGCAAAGCAAGCACATCTCTTGTAGAGAGCGAGTCTTTGTTGCGGTCGAGTAGGTTGAATGAACTCGAGTTGATCGAGCTGCCTTATGCTGAACATGAGAAAACTGCCACGACTGTAGCATTTCAGCCTTATGCTGACCATGGGAAAACTGCCACGACTGTAGCATTTCAGGGATCTGAAGGTACCCATTTTATCAAGAGCGCAAGTCCAACGATTGTTAGCGGAACTGGATCCCCAAGAAATTGTAACCGTCTTTATAACAGATCTTTTCACAGTCTGATGACGAGTGGAATAACTTCGCGAACATCGGAGAGGCGCGAGATTTGACGCTTCTCTTGGATGGGCCAGTCTCTCAGGAGCAGCGACGCAGACTGCACAGTAAGGAGCTCGAATCTTTTCACACCTCACAGTTGCAATCTTACTCTCTTTTTCATATGCTCATCTTCCGACTGCTCAAACAAGCAAACAGACTTAATAAACTGTACAAAGTGAGTGAACACAGAAGGAGGATTTTAAAAACTGTTTACTTTCCGTCTAAGGACACATGCGAAACGAACTCCTTGAATCACCCCCCCCCCACCTCTGAAACTTCAACGAAAGATTTTTTGAAGATCAAGACACCATATGAAATCAAATAAATTTTAAGCTAGTTGAATATGGATCATATAGATAAGTAAAGCGAAAGAAATTATCACGGCGTCTAAAGTAGAGACGTTACCTGTACACGCGGGTGCGACTTATAACCCAGAAAATAGAGTATTGCACCTACAGAATCTCCCTATAATCGCATACATACCCTCGTCATCCGGGCAGTTGATTAGGGCGGTCGTCAACGGGCCGCAGCGCGTGCCAGGAACTATTTGCTTTTTCCAGGCTAATTTAGTCATTTTTTCCAACTTTTCACTGTTTTGGCTACTTTTTCCCAGATTAGCAGCTCCTTATCTTCACAAGGTGGAAAAAATGACTAAATTAGCCTGGAAAAGCAAATAGTTCCTGGCACGCGCTGCGGCCCGTTGACGACCGCCCTAATCAACTGCCCGGATGACGAGGTTACATAAACAGTTGTTGCCTTATGTCCAAGCCCATAATTGTGAAGAACAAGAGCAGTGACCACTGCTGGAATGCTCACGTTCAGGCTATCGATCTAACCGAACTTTTTACAACATCTACGTAAAAACAGCACAGCAAAATGATTTCAGCTCGAGCCTGAGAATTTGGACGTGATGTTCAAGATGGGCATGCAGTATTTGCGGAACAACAGTGAGGATCCGGCATTTGCAATGCTTGGAAAAGCACTCAGCTACCAATCTACTCATCAACAGGTTCCTTCGTATGCATTCTGAAAAAGAAGTAGGCTAGTTGAAATCACTGCTGTTACAGAGCATTCTAGCAGCCGGTTCAATCATGCAAGCACATGGAGATCACGATGTGGCGCTCAACAAGTACAGGTGAGAGGTGTTGTTTACTTTGATACCATCCCTAGAATGACTGAAGTGTGTCAGGTAGGCATGATCATTGGAGGAAGAATTGGTGCCCTGCTGAAGCGCCAGAGAGCGCCAAACGTGCTATCCTAGTGCCCACTGACCTTCATAGAATACCAAGGGCAACAAGCCTTGTTTGCATCGAAATTGCCTAAGCTCGCTTCATTATATCTGTGGACATCTGAATAACCCGCAATGAAAAGAGAAAGCGACCCCTTCTTCCACCTACGGCGGTAAGGAAGGTGTGGGTGCTCCACAAGCTTTAGAAGGTGGTTTACTCACTTGGGAAGCAGAGCCTTCTAGATGCTGTTTCAAACGCTCTTGGGCGATGACCTGAATGGTCGCAGATGTGGAGAGATGCACCCGTCATGATCGAAGAGTTACACTACAGCTGCCGTACCCTTCGGGTATACTGCAGAAGTTTCACCAACGTGGTGCGAAGGCATGGTACTCCTCTTCCACACCCACTATCTGGCTTTTCAGTTCCTTTTAATGCACGTACTATAAGGTCTGTACTGCAGTATCGCGGACGATTTTGTTTCAGGGTTGCGGTGGATGCATGTGATTATAATGGCTGCCTTTGGAACAACATCGGTGTCTGCTTAATGGCTAAAGGACGGCTTGCTCAAGCT